AACTTCCAAGGAGGAACAATATTCATCATTTATATATTTTATAATAAACTCATCAAAAAAAATTCGCAAATATATCTACTTTCATAAAGCAAGTACATGCCAAAAGTCACAAAATTCAAATTACAACTCAAAAATCATCGATCGATAAAAATATTCACGTAAAACGGACGAAACTCCATTGTTAGTGCGGGAATATATGCACATGGTCAACTATGTGTGTTGCTAGCAATATGGAAATTTTGAGGAAATTTGCGAAATTATCGTAAATTTTTGTATACTTATACCCGAAATCGTGTGGTTTTTTCCATAAAATAGTGAGGAAACCTACGAGCTCAGTTGAGGAAACCAAACATATTTTCCAATACTGATACATTTTTTAATAAATTCGCTGATATATTCCAGCAAACTCTCAAGACCGCAAAAGTCAGAAAATTCAAATTACGACTCAAAAATAACGTGAGTAAAATTCGGAAATTCTAAAATTTCCTCAAAAAAGTTCAATCAAACTTACTAATAACATTTTCCACTTCACTTCCTTTTTCGTTAACTTCACCTAAAAACAAAAATTCTCACATAAAAAAATCCAACAAAAACTAACTTTTTGAAAATCCCGAAATATTCAAAGGCCAATACCCAACAATAACTCCGCCATCTCGAATCGTTGATCCATCTACATTCACATGTCGCGATAACATATGAAGAAGGAGATACTCAGCAGCCAGACGATCACCATGAAGGGACCTGAGATGGACAACATCGAAATGACGATGATATTTGAGCTTTTTATACGATTCAACAACTATTGTTCCACCCTAGTTTTAGTATTGTAAAAGACAAGTTTTGGTCAGCATGTTTTTCGGTGAGTATATATTTACTAACATCTATCGGAGTTTCGTCCGTTTTACGTGAAGTGATTTGAAATATTCTTCATTACTGTTTTTCATATCACTCAAGTGAAACTCCATTATTAATATTTTTTTATTATAAAAATTCAATTTTCCAATCCCGTCTCACTGAGCCAGATATTCAATAACTTCACCTCGAACTCTTTCTGTTACCAACTCCTTATGCATAGCATCATTTAAGGGCATCTAAAAACGGAATCAATTTTACAAAAACTATGCAAAGTTCACTTTCACTCACAAATTTTCCATAAAAATTCGGCTAAAAGTGTACAGAAACCAACCAAAATTTTTATAAATTCTTAAAAAAATTCTCGGCATTTTTTCATTTTTCCATTTTCATCATAATAACAACCTCTTCACATTAACATTCAAAAGAATGCGATAAAAAAACAACGGCAATATCGACTGCCACTTCCCTTTAAGAAAAAGTGAATACTACTACACGTTAGAGACGAGATGACTCGTAACGGTCTCGAGTTCTAATCCCAGCATCAGCATTTTTAACTTTTTCAACAATTTCGGCCGATACACGGTTTAAGAGAGCAGGGTGGAAAAATATGCACATGGTCATCAACTACATGTGTTGGTGGAATTTGCGGAAAATTCCGTAAATTCTCGATGGTTTCCGTACACTTCTACCCAAATTCGTTTCGCGAGGAAACTTCTGGGCTCAGCTGAGGAAAGCGAACTAATAGACGTGGACTGCGTGAGCTCCGCCCCTTCCTCAAGGAGGCCTAGCATAACTCCCCTTCCCCTTACCGCAGGGTTCCAACCGCTGGCCGAACGGAATCCTAAAGCTTGAATTCGATACATCCTCTCTTGCTTCAAGTCGTTACTCTCAAACTCTGACATGAAAGTAAAATACACATAATAAAAAAGGGAAACTCATTTCCCACTCTAGTACAACAACAACATGTACAACAACAACAACAAGAACAAGAACAACAACAACAACAACAACAACAACAACAACAAGAACAACAACAACAACAAGAACAACAACAACAACAACAACAACAACAACAACAACAACAACAACAACAACAACAACAACAACAAGAACAACAACAACAACAACAACAACAACAACAACAACAACAACAACAACAACAACAAGAACAACAACAACAACAACAACAACAACAACAACAACAACAACAACAACAACAACAACAACAACAACAACAACAAGAACAACAACAACAACAACAACAACAACAACAACAACAAGAACAACAACAACAACAACAACAACAAGAACAACAAGAACAACAACAACAACAACAACAACAACAACAAGAACAACAACAACAAGAACAACAACAACAACAACAACAACAACAACAACAACAACAACAACAACAACAAGAACAACAACAACAACAAGAACCCCAGTCACCATTCCCTTCCTCAGTGATAGTATCCAGACCACTCCTCCCCTCCCTATAAGAGGCCTCCTTTACCATACAACCATCCAATATTCCCACCACCTCAACCACCTGCTACACAACCATAATCGATCAACTGGGCGCGCGCTAACTCCACTATCACCTCGTGTAACTTCATAGCATCCTTCTCCATATCTTTCACGTTGTAAACCTTCACAATTGCCTCTTTTCCCTTCGAATCTGCCAACACGGTGAATATAAAA